CTTGCTTCAACTAAATGGGAGGGAATGCGGGTGGGTGTGGTACTAGGACTGAGACTGGGACTGGGTTTGGATATGTGTATCTGGATGGTTGGATAGCCCAGTGGCTGGGTTTGGTGGTCGAACCGAGCCGAGTGAAAGAGCAAACTATAAATAAAGTGAAAAATCGTGAGTGGTTTGTATTTGCATGTGGGTGGCTTACGATATTTATAATGCTGATATGACACAGCCGCATTAATTAGAGACTTCATTAAAGATTTGACAGCGCTATAGCGTTTTACACAAGTGCGAGCAAGACGACTATATGGCGCTCTAATGCATTAGAATAATGCATTAGCTACTTCATTGGAGCGATAATCGATAGATCTACATATTATATACTAGATACTCGATAACAAAATACGGGTTTAATGAAGAAAATTGTAATTGAAAAATGTATTAGCCAGCTCATTGACAGTATGGTCTCACAATGAGATATTTATTTTTATATACAGCTGTGTTCACGGAAATAGCAGTGCCCCACGACCTGCACGTTTAAGATTGGAAAATACTATTACAAACACTATTTTCATAAAATTTTTTTTCATAAAGGCTTAGTGTATTTAATTATTAACAATACCACAATCATTTAATTTAGGTAACATAAACCTTATAGAAGATATAGCTAATAACAACAAAAAAGGTCTATATTATGCCGATCATTGAAATAGCAGTGAAAAACTAAAATTCTTCATAAATTTTAAAATATCGTATAAGAATCCTATTTCTTCTTAAATTCTAATTGACTATGATCTAATATTTTGTTAAATAGCCTTTAGAAGCTATCATAGCCTCATACCTGGGTGGCAAGGAGTCCACCAAGTCTTAGCAACGCTTGAGGGGAATATGGCCTCATTCCTCCTGCACAAATTGCCAAAACTGTGGCCTAGAAGTCGGAAACTTCTTTAATACGTAGCCCTTGATGTCCCCCATAAGTTTTCGATCGGATTTATATCCGGGGACTGTGCAGGCAATGGCATTGCATCCACTTTTTCATTAAGAACCCACTCCTTGGCCACCTTGATGGTATGATTAGGGTCACTGTACTGCTAAAACGTCCAAATTAATGGCATATTTTCCTCAGTATACGGCTGCAAGACAGTTTTTAATATTTAGACATAAACATAATGGTTTTTGATCCCACCGATCATATATACGGGACCTACAACGTTGTATGAAAAGTATACCCAAACCATGATTTTTAGGCCACCATGTTTACTGTCTTCAGCGTATGGTTTGGAGGATACTATCTATTTGGAGGTCGACGGACATATTGTCTTGTCCTATTCCACCAAATAAAACCAGTTTGGAGTCATTTGTCCAAAGGATATTACGCCATTTGAATAGTGGCAGTTCAAGTGGCTATTGGCGAACTCGGATCTGGCCTTGGTATGCCTGTAACCAAGCAGTGACATTTTCCATGGACTTCGCGAATCTAAAATTTATTCAATAAGTCCCCGGCGAATGGTCCCATGACTGATTCCCATGCCAATTCCCGCTCATATATCCCTAGAGGATGCAAAAGGACGAGCTTTGCTGAAGCGAAGTACGCGTCGAGCCTGTACAACTGTGGTTTTGCGAATCGTACCTCGGTTTTTTTGGGTTCGGTTCATATTTTATGATTTATAAACTATTCTAAAATAACAATTTGAAAGATTTGGAGTCTCTTTACATGTTTTGCCCTTCTTTATAGGCTAAGTAATCTGATACCTTTCTCTCATGGAGCAGTGAGGTTCTGCGCCCACGAAAATATTTTTTTTGCGTTGTAAAGGTGTATTATAGTATAAACTATAATAACGACCGTAATTAAACTCATTTTTTACAAAATTAAAAGAAATTTCGGCACTTTTTGCGAAAGAAAATTAAATACTGCTATTTCAGTGATCGGCCAAAACGAGCTGCATATGTGAAAAAATATCAATAAAACATAAAAATAGAGCAAATCTAACGGAACTTTTTCTCGATTCTTATCTTTATGTTCCATTTTACAAAAACAATGTGCAATAGATCAGCTTGCAAAAAGGAATATGTACAAAAAAACGTTTTGAAGTTGTTCCTCTGTCGCACTGCTATTTCAGTGAACACAGCTGTAATTTCGCTGGTTTTTTTAACTGAAAAAATATTAGAAAATTAGAAAAAATAATATGTTTTGCGGTGGCAAGGTTCCTGCGCTGTAAATTTAATTTAAATTTTTTTTTGGTAATAATTAAATAAATTTTAAGCATCATAGGTTAAAAACATAAATTTAAAGGATTCTGCATTTATTTATGCAAGAATACTTCGACGAGGAATTCAGAAATTCATAGTAATACGCCGCGAATGGCGGCCGTTTTTTTGTTTACCTTTTACGGACGATGTGACCGTAGTCGTATTACCAAAATAATCCAAGCAAAATTCAAGCCAAATTACACAAAATTACACATATAGTGGTCTCTTTTAAGGTTCTAATGAAGTAGCTAATTAATGAAAACTGCATTAGTGTATCATATGGGCATAAGCTACGAAAAAATGTAAATAAATTATGCAACCCAAGAAAGATACTCGATAATCTCAGCCGAGAGGAGGGGAAACTGCACAAAGGCTTTTAGTTTTCTGTTAGGGAATGTTTTTCCGCCTTCAAGTGTTTCAATGCAAGCGAGAAAAGCGACAATGGCAACATCAACAACAGCTGGTCGAACAATCAAAATACTTTTTGCTCAGCTCATTTTCATAATATTTCCCTCGATATATGTACGTACATAAACCCGTTGATATATGTTCATTTATAGATTGTATATGCACATTTATATATCTAAAGATATTTTCGGCTGGTCCACTCTCGCTGTCTCGATTTTTGGCTGATTTATTGAAATGTTTTTCGTCTGTTTTATTTTTTGTGACTGTGTTGAATCAAGACAAAAATGATATTTTCTTAAATAATTTAATTTATTTTTTTATATGATTTAAGTATCCGTTTTTTTCTGCTCGGTATATAGATGAAAATATGCTGAGGCATATATTCTTTTTGATTGTTCTTTTGTGCCAACATTTTTGTCATTGCGTGTAGGTCAAATATGTTGCTAAGATTTCACCTGCCCATTTCCATTTCCACAGCTCCTTGTACTTTTCCGAAGGGGTTCTTTGGCAAAGTTTTGAAGCTCTCCGAGAAACTTGTTACAACGAACTTGAAATGTTTTATGCAACAAAGAGATTGTATGAATATTTCAGCCGTTCATCTTTTGCTTTAGAGCTTGGATATCAATATTAAATACGTACACTTTTACTGCATTAAGGTATTTTTTTTAGAGACCTTCAAGGCCGTCGATAGCTTGGATGATGGGTGAAAGTTTACTGCCTGTCTTCCATTAGTTTGGTTACTTGAGTCACGTAATGCCTTCTCCTCCTCCAACTCCTCCTGTCTCGTCGATGGCCGTAATTTTTGGGCTTCGCCATCGGCTCTGGCTTTATGTAATTCGAGACAATGGCGGACAAAAGATCTCTTGTAAATTCAATGCCAAACTCCAACGCCAACAACTCGCACACGTTTGCAGGCCGATACCCGAGTAGCTAAGTATCTGAGTATCTGAGTGCCGCTGCCTGTAAGTCTGAGTATGTCTGGATATTGCACCTCTCCGATTTCGGATACGCGAACGTGTATCTGTATCTGTGTATCTATACCTTGGCTACCTTTGCGTGGGTGCAGCGATTCAGTGACGCTTTTTGTTTCAGCGATAAAGCCAGCTCTGCCTTAAAATACGACAAACTTTTTTTGTTGTTGCTTTTTTTTATATTTTATCTTGTTATTCTTTTTTTTTTATTGTATTCTCTGATGTATTTTGTTGGTTTCATACATGCATACATGTAAGAGATTTAATATAGCACGCTGCTGTGGCCCGCTGACGTCATAAGCCCCAGTGTCAGAGATGCCTACGCCCCTGAACCACCCCTCGAAAAAGAGGGGTTGGGTGAAGCGAGCAGCCAAGCATGTGCCGGCACTGATAAGGCAAAAATCTATAAAACTTTTAACATGCCAATATTGCTCCGGGGACATGGGAAAATTTCTCCTCGCGGGAGTTTTTCCGCCAGCAAAAAGGCGTCATCAAAAAGGGGAGTTGGGAGGGTTTTCCAGGAATGTCCATAAGGTTGTAAGCTGGTCGGTTGAATTGGTCATAGAACATTTATCGTTCAGCTGCCTTAATTGCAATATCCGCTCGCAATTGGTTCGCTGAAAGTGAGTGGTTAGAGCTTTATAGGTTCTTGTGATACTGAATTCTTTTTTTTTATTATTACGTTATTATTTGGATATAGAAATTGCTGAAAGTTTAGCAGGGAAATATGTACAATTTGAATATAAAAAGAGAATCCTATTAGCCACTCTATGTGTTGTTTTAAAAGCCAATCAAATGACTGGCTTTTAATTATTTTGACAGCAGCTGTTGCTTAAAAATTCCATTTTCCAAGTGCCTTTTTCCCCACGCTTTTTGTTTTAGTAATTTTGAGATAGAAAAAACCTATATCCTAAACTAATTCGCCCATGCTTCCACTCTACATAGTTCTTGTGTTAATTAAATTTTGAACGCACACATTGGTAACCTCTTTTTTGGCTAAAAGAAACGACCTTGACCCAGCTGAATGCCCAAAGTCAAAACGAGAAATAGCCACAGGCCAAATTAAACATATTAATAGAATCGATACCAAGCTATAGCTTAAATATTAGTTACTTTAATGCGCGGCATGAGCTATCGTCTATGCTTGAGCTTGATTTTAGATTTGATATGCTATGATATGATTAAAAAACCCGAGTAGGAAGTGCGGTGCTGCCCCTCAGTCAAGGTTGATTGGTGCCGGACCGGATCGTCTCGGAAGAAGTCAAAGTCGATCGAGGCGAGAGCTCAATAAATTGCGAATTATGCAAATGCTTGCATGCTTGATTGGGTCTGCAGACGACTAACTAACTTTATATATTTTCTTGGCTCTTTTTTTAGCATTTCCCCCTCCGTCTTCAAAGTAGAAGAGAGCTCGAAAACTCGGCCCCGGAACAGTCATTTCGAACTGGAAGGACATGTGAAAACCTCTTCAGAAACCCAGGAGGATAACGTAACAGAAACATAACTACAACAAATATTCATTCATAACCATATAGCATATATAACCGCGAGACTACAGATATTTAGTTGTAACGTAGCTTAGTCTTAACTGAAAGAGAAAACAAGAGAAAACCGAAGCAAACGGAAGCGAAGAGCGTAAAAGGAAATCCATCTAAGAGCCAGAAAATTTCATTACATTTCAATCGGTCGATCTGTCGGTCACTCACTAAACACTGCAGTGTAAACGCTTTAAAAATTTTTAAATTAAATACAAAAAAGGTTAAATTTAACACAAAAATTATGGTGCACACAGTGCGCTTGACAAAAAAACAAACAAGGAAGCAGGCAGCTAAATCTTACGATTAAGCACAAGGTGTAAAGTGTGTGTGCGCGGGAGAAGAGCTGATGAAACGAGTTTGAACCTTCAGTGTGTAAGAGAAAAATATAAAAAAAAAGAAGCCAAAACTCGCCCCAAATGAGGACACTTGTCGGCCGGTACGTCCTCCGCCTTCCTCCTGCTAAGCGAGCTTGCGTTCCAAGTAGCCCCCGACGACGATGATTTGGCGTCTCTACCGTAGACATGTCTCTAGATATTTATATAAATATATATATAGATACATATATGCGTATATAAATGTTGTACAATCAGCGACGACGTGCAACAATAAACCGCCCGCCCCCCAGAACTAGAATCAGAGTCAGAATCAGAGTCAGAACCTGAAACAGAACCAGAACCAGAGTCAGAGGACATTATGCTCATGGACCATTTCCACAGTGTCACCTACAAGTAAGGCACCAACTACACTCATGAATAGTTATCCATCCACAACACTCACACACACTCTACTCCACACACCAAACACTCAGAAGAAATATATAAAGCAAAAAAGAAAATTTAAATGTTTACATTTAAGCCACATAAAACAAAACAAAAAAGAAAATAACTTAAAAACCAAAAAAGTAAAAAAAAAAATCAACTGAAATTTGTGTGTATAAAAACGTATAAAACCTAGCATTAATGAACACGAGATGAAGCAAGTAGTAGAAGACGAAGGATGTCGACGGAGTCAAGTCTATATATACACAAGATTGAAGCATTATACTTACGAGAGCAGAACAAAAGAGAATATCACGTGCTAGAGAGCCGACTAAGTATAATTATTTGGAAATGAACAAGAAGGAGGAGTAGGAAGTGGAAATGAAGCTAAAAGGCAATGGCAAGGCAACTGTGTAGCAGTTACGTTTATATATATTCAAGTAAATATCGATCGGAGTATATTTATACATATTGTTTCGTTATGTGCGGAGAGGAGTTAAGATCGTTTTATTAGGAGGAAATTTCGAGATCCTTTTTTTTTTAACTTTATCTACCACTGGCGCGACACTTCTCCGTATTCCTTTCTTTTCCCTGTTATTATTTATTTTTAAAAGTCAAGACTTTTAAATTATGTTGTTGTTGTGAGAGGAGAGGAGATATACAAAACGAGAGCGAGAGCAACTCGGGATCGTAACAAATAAAATTAATTTATATACATACTTTTTATGTTTGATATATATGATCATTTGTTCTACTAGTTGCGAGACAAAAGTCATAAATAGGCATTAATTAAGCATCTAAATTTAATGGTAAATAAAAGTAAACAAACAAAGAACAACAAATAAAAACGGAAATCAATCGAGTAAGCAGACGATGATGTTTGTAGCCACGAATGTTCACATCACACCACATCTAAGAATTGTGTCTCTGTCTCCATCCCCCCCTTTATATGAAGCATACACACATGTTTATGTGTTTCCAACTAGTTTTCGGTGTGCCGATGATCCCTTTGTGTCCTTTTTCAGTCACCCAAAGAAACACCATGGACACGGACACAGACACAAGAAACACGCAGGCAAAGCGCAGAAACACACACATAAGCATATACTGAAAATAATCTACGGTAGTCTGAGCATAAAATTTAATGTGGATATATACCTAAATATATATATATTCGAAACATATGTGCAGTAGAGGAAGGAGGAGCAGGAGTTCGGGAGAAAGTCAATCTTTAAGTTTGTGCAATTTTGTTTTAGTTTTTTTTCTCGCTTGTGTTAGCCCTTAACTTTTAGCGGTAGCTGTTAGCACTACTCTTTAAAGATGCAGAGATACAGTATCTGAGAAGCCCAACCTGAGCTTTACTATCTGACTAACGATTTGTATGCTTTACGTTTATGTATTAAATAATTAATTCAACTTGTGCACTAATTTATAATACCCTTTAATCTTGATTTTTTTATGTGAGCTTTCTCCTCAGTCCAAAGTTTTTTCGTTAAGGAAGAGAAATCCTTTCGTTGTTGTTTCATGTGTGTGCGTGCAAGATTCGAGGTACATATTGATAAAATATATATTAATATATATATATATAAAATATTTAATATATGTGAGATGAAGAACCGGAACGCAAGAGGATGAGAAAGCAAAATTCAAGTTATTTAATTTAGTTTATACATTTAAGTTTATATAGCAAGCGCATATATATACAAATATATATATATACACACATATATATATATTTAAAACCAACAAATAAGATGGAAAATCTTAAAAAAAAAAAACAAACAAACAACCAAACAAACACAACAAACAAGCATACAATAAAAAACAAATTTGCGAAAAAAAAATAAAAAGAATTATAAGTAAAAGATGATATAAAGAGGAGAGGAAACAAGAAAACACAAAGGAAAAGAAACAAACAAACAAAAAAAACCAATAAAATGAATTTGAAATCCTTAAAAAATATATACACAAACTGTGGGCGTTCTTATTGAAGTCGGATTGATGAAGATTCCACCCAGATTTACTTAGGGGAAGATATTCAGCAGGAGGAGGAGACCATCTGGTTACCTCCATTTTCTGATACATATGAGTGTGTCAGTCATTGGATTTCTAAGATGAAAAGCATCTGCTTTGGAGATTCTTTATTATTTTCTCCATTTCAAGTGCGCCGGCAGTGTTGTCAATCCTATCAAAGCACTCGATTCCAGATGCTGTTTGCCCATAAAGAGGATTGGATGTAAAGTAAGTATATTAGTTTATTTTCTTTGAAAAGCTTTGAGCCATGAGGTCTAGGTTGCCTGGTTTAATTCTTATTATTATTACTTATTCTTCTTCAGAGACAAACAGCTGGTTCTTTAGTGAACATGTCTATTCTTTAGTTTGCAGCCAAGAAACTTCATCGGTTATAATTTTGAAGACTGATCCAGCTCAAAGCGATTTGTAGTTGAATTCCTACTTGAGAATTTTAGATGCCATGCAACAAATTACTCTTAATGTTGGTAACTAGAGTTTGCAGGTGTGTCGAAACAAATATCTCTCACTTTAATAATGTCGAAAAATATAGCATTTAATGTATATAAACTTTTTACTACAAATTTTTAACTTAAAGTTTTTGAGTATCGAATTATTGCACGAAAATGGCATATTAATAATCGATTTATATATCGGATTTCGTTTTTAATATTGTCATCGTATATCGTTTTATAATACTTTTCTAAAGCCTTTTAAAAATATAATAATTCTTTTATGTATCCTTTATTATCACCAAGTATTTCATTATTTAATGGAAACACCTCTCAAAAGCAATCCATTATCTGTTCAAAACTCTCACATTTCTAAGCACGAAGGAATATGCACACATACCAGTTTTTATATTTGTATCAATTTAAGTTTGTCTGCTTGTTCCGTATTCCCAAAGTTTTAGACCCGAAAAAAGTAAAAAACTTTCCAACCGACAAGAACAACAAAGGAAACATGGAAATAACAAGAAAATAAAAGAAAGCTACAACAAAAGAGGAAAAAAAGAAAGGAAAGAGGACTGCGGACTGTCAAAAAGTTCTGCATAATTTTTGGTTTGTTTCGTTTTTCTTTCTTGTTCCTTCCTTCCGATTTTCCATAGCATACACCTTTGACACACTTGCCAAGGGGCCATTTTCCTTATATAAGGAAAAGTCTAGGGGGTAAGGGGAAGGTAAATAAATCGAGAAACTGCTTTTATTTTGTTTCCTTGATTTTGACTGCAGACAAAAAGTTGGCGTGTGTACATGCTATGTGTGTGACCCAAACACTCCCACAAACACACACACACACACAGCACACATATTTATATGGAATGTGAGGTTATGGCGCACTGTGGACGTCTAAGGTTATTTATAGCAACACTTTTTCGACCAGGCTCGCATTAGCCCCCTTTTTTGGCTCGTTCTGCCGCGGTTGCTCCTTTCGCCAAGTTTGTCCTTAAGTTGGCCAGGACATGCACGAAGGGACAGCTAAGCAGCTTTATGATTTCTCTGTGTGTGTATGAGTGAGAGTCCTGGGGCAAGGGAATTTTCCTTTATGCAGGCCAGCGACGGAAAATAATAATTCCCGGCATGGCCAACTAAACATCGGAGCGGAGCGGACCGAAGCAGAGAGAAGACATCAAAGCGAAAATTTCCCTATAAACGAGGAGAGAGGAGGGGCTGAAAGCCCCTTGGGAATGGGAATCTCTGGTGCGGGAAATGCGATGAATAGTTTTTGCGGAAATTCGGCTTAAATTCGATGCAAGAGTTGAAGAGGCACCTAGGTTGTCTGGAGTCTTGAAATTTTCTGTTATTCAACACGATTGAAGCGACGACTTTGGTGAGCTTCAAAAAGATAAAAATAATATATCTGCTTTGTTTTTATGAAGAGATTTTATAGCCACTCTCAGGAAAAGAAATTTAAATAAATTTTGATGCTTAGACTTTATGCAACTTTAATTTAAATAATGCAATTTGTAAAAAGTTGTTTTTAATTTAAGTTAAACATTTTTATTTAATTTCCAATTTCAGAAAATCAATTATACATTAAAAGCTTAAATTAAAACCTCTGTTCCCCCACAGCTTCTACTACATTTACGCTTAAATTCTCGCATTATTAATTAACCCTTTTAATCATCTTTCCTTTGTAATTATAAATTCACCTGTTACTGGCTTCGCCCATTTAAAGTTGAATACAAATATAATTAATGTAAAACTTTGACACAAATTTAAACAGCCAGGCGAGTTGGTATTGAATTAATTACTGAATGTGTATCGGCGGTATTAAGTGGGATGTTAAAGCTGCTCGTTCAGAGTGACTTTTGGGTGGCTGTCACCTCGACGAGTATCTGGTTTGGATTGTTTTTCTGGCTGGGCTTGCAAAAAACCAAAGGAAAGGGAGAATAAAGAAAGCGCCGAAGCTTTTCAATGTGTCGCCGTCTTACCAATTAGGTTCCCCCTCTTGCCAGCCTTTGTCCCCCACTTTCTCCTCTCCCATTGCCAACCAACCATTGTGGTGGTGGAAATCTATATGGATGCGATGGTGGTGGTGGCTATGGTGACCTGGCCTTTGTGCTGGATTTGTGCTGGGCCAGCAAAAGGTGGCAGTGGCAGGCAATTGGTTCTGGTAATTGGAAAATAAGTTGAAAATACGTTTTATGAGCAAGGACTCTCCCTGCTGATGTCAGGTCTTTGAACCAAAGGAATCCTAGGTGATTGATAGTCCATTTTAGAGAAATATGCTAGGAATTAGGAAACTACCATACATGCCCGACGACGACAAAGGCGAGCCAATTCGATAAATATTCGCTAGGAATGTGTGTGAGCACCACACAAAGATGAAATGCCGCGCATAATTTATATCTGAATTCATACGAATTTAAATCTATATTAATCAAGAAGCTATATTTCGGATGGACAGACGCGAAAGTGCTGTAAATTAAGCGTCGGCCAAGGCATTCCGTTAGCCATTCCTGATATATATGCGGTTATATGCCACTGTATTTATATATTCCCGCCAAGTGCTAGCCTGGGGCAGCTGTGTAAACACACATTGCGAGGGTGGTGACAGAGGTTGCTTGGCTTCTGGCACGGGTTAATTAAAAGTCTATTCATCAGTCGTCAAGTTTTAAAAGGGAGCAACTTTACACACTGCCTGCGAAGATTGATTTGTCACGTGCCACATTTCCCCTCCCCTGGAAAATATTCGCACATGCTGGAAATATATGGTTTAACTCTCCCAAAAGTGATTAGAGTGGAGTCCGACCGTCATTGGATAATTGTTAAGCTTCACTTGGGGCTGGACTGCAATTTGCTAGTTGCATCATTCCCAGCGGAATAATAGTGCACTCGAATTTTATTTTATGGCCTTAATAACATTTTGGGACCTAAGAG